GCGCGCGGGGAAGGGGAACGACGGAGCGCGCGGGGAAGGGGAACGACAGCAAGAGCAGGATGTAGGGAGGGCATTGGAGAGCATCCTCAGGGTTTTTAAGTAAAAAGTACCAACCTTACCATTTTAATACAATAGCAACCAGTGAGGCCACACCCACTATTAAAACATTTAGGAGACTCTGTAGCACTTTGTCAGAGGTCTATTGCTGCATTAGGGCAACTCCACTGGCCTCAACACCCACAGCCTGGAAAGCTCTGCACTATGCAGCCTCTGCATCCACTCACAGTCAATGAAAGGGTGAAAAGGTTCTCCTTGAGGTAGAATTAATTGCCTCCTACCTTCTCCAAGCTGCTGCGGTGACCCACACTGATGACAGTCATGCCCAGCTGCTTGCAGGTGTGGTACAGCTCTCCTTCCGTCTCCTCTGTCAATGCACTTGTAGCTTCATCCAACACTGGGAAGAGAAGAAGCGCTGCTTAGGAATCAGAAGCTTGCAAATTTCAGCCAAAGTGGGGTAAGTGGAAGGGCAAGGTTGGGCTGGATGGTGTTCAAAAGAACAAAGGATGATCCCTTTGAAACATGTAAAATTCTTCAAGGGCTTGACTGGGCAGAAACTGAGCTTTCCCCCGGTTGCAGATGCAAGAACTTGTAGGAGTTGGGGGGTGGCACTCCCCCTTCAGCCTCAAAACAAAGGGTTGGCCATGTTTAATGGAAGTGAGGAGGAATTTTGAATCAATAAGGTTGCGAATCTTTGGAACTCTATAATCGTGAGGCTGTGAATTCTCAGTTGCTGAGTCCATGCCAGTATTGAAGTTCTACATGAATCCCTTGAAAACCAAATGTGATCGACATAATCCTCCATTCCCTTCTCCCCCAGGAAACTTCTCCTGTTAAAGGTCCCTACGCTATTCCCCTCAATTAGTCCATGTGGTAGCAAGTTCTCCCTTGTCTAGTCCACATGATAATTGGCATTCAAGTTACATTCGCTGGTGAAAGGGTTCAGGACTGTCTAGGTATATGACCCTTACAACAGCAGTGATATTCATGTCACTGTGCTGGGATGGAATTAAGCCAAGTTCTCTAAAAACGGGAAAGGCACTGTCCTGATTCATGCACTAGCCAAATTCCACAGCATCATTATTAATATGACAGAGTTTTAGGAAAGAAACAAATTAGAAATAAATTACAAAAAAAAACAGAAATTGCTGGAGAAATTCAGCAGATTTGACAGATCCTCCCTTCATTGACAGGTCAGAAGTGGGGATATTGAACAATGTTCAGCACTATTCGCGACTCCTCAGATACTGAAGCAGTCCGTGTTCAAACGCAACAAGATCAGGACAATATCCAGGATTGGGCGAACATACAGTCAGTATTATTCGTGCCACACAAATGCCAGGCAATGACCATTCCAATAATTAGCAATGTAGCCATCACTCCCTGACATTCAATAGGGTTACCACCACTGAATCCCAACTATCAACATCCTGAGGGTTACCACTGACCAGAAACTCCACTGGACTCACCACATTAACATAGTGGCTACAAGAGTAAGTGAGAAGCTAGCAATCACATGCAGACTCTCTAAGTCTGTCCACTATTTACAAGACAGAAGTCAGGAGTGTGATGGAATATTCTCCACTTGCCTGGATGAGTACAGCTCCAACAATATTCAAGAAGCTTGACACCATCCAGGACAAAGCAGCCCTCTCGATTGGCACTATATCCACAAGCATCCACTCCCTCCACCACAGATACTCAGTAGCAGCAGTGTGTACTATCTGCAAGATGCAGTGCAGAAATTCACCAAAGATTCTCAGACAGCACCTTTCAAACCCTCGACCACTTCCATCTAGAAGGAAAAGGGCATCAGATACATAAGAACATCACCACTTGCAAGTTCCCCTCCAAGCCACTCATACACCTGACTTGGAAATATATCACTGTTCACTCACTGTTGGTATGTCAAAATCCTGGAATTCCTCACTAATTGCATTAATCGTCTACCCAGAGCACATCAAATGTAGCGGTTCAAGAAGGCAGCTCATCATCACCTTCTCAAGGGCAACTAGGGACGAGCAATAAATGCTGTCCAGCCAGTGAAGCCCATATCCCACAAGAGGATAAAAAAAAGAGCAAAAACAGAATTAACATTTTGATTCCATGACCCTTCTTTAATGGCGTCTAAGAAGTAAAACACTTTGAAGATTCACAAGCAGAAAGACCCGTCTCTCAGAGTCATAGAACTGTATAGCATGGAAACAGACCCTTCGGTCCAAATCATCCATGCTGATCAGATGCCCTAAATTCATCTCGTCCCATTAGCCCATATCCCTCTTCAATCCTTCCTATTCATATACCCATCCAGATGCCTTTTAAATGATGTAACTGTACCAACCTCCACCATTTCCTCAGCAGCTCATTCCATACACACACCACCCTCTGTGAAAAAGTTGCCCCTTGGGTTCCTTTTAAATCTTTCCCCTCTCACCTTAAACCTATGCCCTCTAGTTTTGGACTCCCCTACCCTGGGGAAAAGACATAGGGTGGTAGCCAATCCATATACCTGATGATTTTATAAACCTCTATAAAGGTCACTCCTCAGCTTCCAATGCTCCTGGGGAAATAGCCCCAGCCTATTAGCCTCTCCCTATACCTCAACCCTCCAACCCTGGCAACATCCTTGTAAATCTTTTCTGAACCCTTTCAAGTTTCATAACTTCGGATGGCAGAGAAGCAGAATTGAATGCACTAATCCAAAAGTGGCCTAACCAATATCCTACACAGCTGCGACATCACCTCACAACTCCGACACTCAATGCATTGACCAATAAAGGCAAGCATACCAAATGCCTTCTTCACTATCCTGTCTACCTGCGACTCTACTTTCAAGGAACTATGAACCTGCACTCAAAGATTTCTTTGTTCAGGAACAAAAGCAGAAGTTGCTGGAAAAGCTCAGCAGATCTGGCAGCATTTGTGAAGAAAAAATCAGAGTTAGGTTTTGGGTCCTGTGACCCTTCCTTCCATTAACATGGATTTTTTTCTTCACAGATGCTGGCAGATCTGCTGAGCTCCTTGTTCAGCACCACTCCCCAGGACTTTACCATTAAGTGTACAAGTCCTGCCCTGATTTGCCTTTCCAAAATGCAGCACCTCACATTTATCTAAATTAAGCTTCATCTGCCACCGTCAGCCCACTGGCCCATCTGATCAAGGTCCCATTGTGCTCTGAGATAACATTCTTGGTTGTCCGTCACACCACCAATTTTAGTATCATCTGCAAACTTACTAACCATACCTCCTATGTTCACGTCCAAATCATTTATATAAATGACAAAAAGCAGTAGATCTAGCACTGATCCTTGTGGCACACCACTGGTCACAGGCCTCCAGTCTGAAAAGCAACCCTTCACCACCACCCTTCTACCTTCGAGCCAGTTCTGTATCCAAATGGCTAGCTTTCCCTGTATTCCACGTGATCTAACCTTGCTAACCAGTCCACATGCGGAACCTTGTCAAACTGCTGACTGAAGTCCATACAGATCACGTCCACCTTCATCAATTATTTTTGTTACTTCTTTAAAAAACTCAGTCAAGTTAGTGAAACACAATTTCCCATACACAAAGCCATGTTCACTATCCCTAATCAGTCCTTGCCTTTTCAAATCCTGTCCCTCAGGATTCCCTCTAACAACTTGCCCACCACCGATGTCTGGCCCACTGATCTTTAGTTCCTCTGCTTTTTCTTGCCACCTTTTTTAACTAATGGCACCACGTTAGATAACCTAAAGTCTTCTAACACCTCACCTGTTGCTACCAATGATACAAACATCTCGGCAAGTGGCCCAGCAATGACTTCCCTAGCTTCTCACAAAGTTACATCTGATCAGGTCCTGGGGATTTATCCACCTTTACGCATTTTAAGAAGTCTAGCACCATCTCCTCTGTAATACAGACATTTTTCAAGATGTCGCTATTCATTTTCCCCGAGTTCTCTGGCTTCCTTATCCTTCTTCACGGTAAACACTGACATTCAGACCATCAAACGGATAACACACAGTAGATAGTTCTGTTGTAAGAGTTATTTTGGGAGCAGTACAATTCAGGGAAGCTCCATTGGGCTATAAAATAGGTTGTCAGTTGATCCTCACATCCTTCATTTGTCTTCATGTTGCACCATATGGGACATTAGGAAATGGAGGCCCCTCTGACTGTAACGAAATGCACACCTCAGGTGGCTGGTGACAGCGGACAGTCTTTTTTTGGCCCTGAGGCAACTCTTTCAGAGTGGCCTCAGCTGAGATCTGCCTTCACCCAATGCGTTTCTCTTATACCTCAAAACAGGAACTCACTGTGCTGACCTCAACTCTGCACAAACACTGTTCCCCTTTGGTTGGCCTGCCTCGATGAAGTTCCTGGGACTCCATCAGCATTAACCAACCTGCCAAACTAGGCTGGCCTGTGGCCAGGAAATTAAATATCACTGAAGTTGGATGGTTAACCTCCTGAGGGCTGATCAACACAAACCTGCATATTTGGGCTGGTGATAGAAGAGTCGAGCGAAGCACAGTCTCTGCATTTCTCCGGGAGACAGCACGTCGAACCTGGACAGTAACAACAAGAGGCCAATCAGATCCTGAACACTTCTTCATGACATATCAGAGAAGAAAGCATGAATAGAACAGACCTCTGAACAAAATTGTTCCACAAGGCATGATTTAACCCACCAAGAAATCGACATAATCCCCTCTCAATCTCCTGAAGGAGGCAATGATCCACTGCAAAAGTGTCCAAGGCGGGGAAATATTTGTGAAATATCTCCCTGCTTTACCAAAGTAATGGAGTGAAAGCATCCCTCAAATATGCAAATCCCACGTATCAACTCTAATCAGCAGCATTACATGGGATATATTACTTCCCATAATGTCACCACTGTTATGAAGGCTCTGTACATTTATCCAATGAATGACAGACCAAACTAAAGCCCCAGCTTCATGCTGAGTTAGTTGATCTTGTGGCTGCTCTAATTAATCTCAGGATCCTGGGACAAGATCTACTTAGTGCTATGAAGGCGACGATAAGAGACTTACTGGCTGCAAGCTCACTGTAACTCGATGCCAGTTTGCTAATAACGGCTACATGTGACTAGATGATGCCTGGGTAACTCCGAGTATTTTTAGCCCTTAATTCCAAAATGTGTCTTTTTTTTAAAAAGAGGACTGCTACAGAAAAAAAAGTCACCGTGTGTAAATTCTGGCTGACAAAAAAACATGGAACTTGAAAATGTCAAAAGAAATTCAAGCAGAGAGAAATAACATTGAAGAACATTTCTTGTTGTAGACACTGAAACACACATTACATGAAGACACCATCAAGGTCCAAATTAACCTGTTATCCCAGATGACAATGTTCACTATTGCTAGTTATCTAACAAATACAGGAATGGTTTTCCAATTTACAATCTTTAAAAAGGTATGCTAACTCACCCTGTGATCAGAGATAGTTAAATAATCCACCAGCACTGAGACTTTCGTGACTGAAACCTTGTTTAATTTGCTTCTTTAATTTCAGGCACAATGAAAACTAATCTCTGCTGTCAGTAACAGTGAAACACTGCACAGAAATGTGTCAAGTTTGAAGGTCTGAAACTCAGATGTAAAGTCTAAATAAGTCAGTCTCACCAGTTCCAATCCACTCTCTCATCCAGTCCACCAGTCCTCTTCAGTAGTGACCCCTTAAATGTAAGAAAAAACTAAATCAGTTAGACTGTAACTCTCTGAGGTTCTAAGCTGTTGACACTAGATAGGATTAGAGTCTACAGCAACCTTGCCTAGTCACTTGATCAGATCGAGCTCAGAACATGCCTTATAACACCAGCCAGGAGAGCTTCCCGAGGGAGCCAAAGACAGAAACTGCTGGAAATATACAACACATCATGCAGCCTCTGTGGAGTCATCAATGTCAAATATTCGCACTGTATCTGTCATGGGGTCAAGTAGCTTGTGTTTTAATGTATATTTATGAGTTGGGCTGTACTTGGATGGAATAGGGGATGAACTGGATAATTCAGAGCCAGCACTGATACAATGGCCAAATGGCCACCTTATGTTATCCTTTAAAAGGCAGAAAACACACAGAAAGTACACTTTGTTAACTAACAAGCAAGAAATTTTAACACATCACTTGACACGAGGGTCTAACAAACAAATATTATACCACATATGTAAATACACAGTTAGAAAACCAGTTAAAACATCAACCCAACATACAGTTTAAAAGTCTGATTTGATTCCAGCCAGTCATTGCAATGTAACCATTATTCTAAATATAATACAACATGTATTCATTATCCCATGCACAAACCAGGTAGCTGCCGTCCCGTGCATAAATCATTGGAATCCTACAATTAGACTGCAGTTTATAATTCATATAGAAAAGCAAACTGAATCCTTTGAATATATTCCAATCTGTAAATTACTCTCAGGTATCCATCATTCCATATTCAAACCATCTGAACCCCTTGATTAAATTCCATCTGTAATCACTCCATTACTCTATGTATAAACCATCTAAACCCCTCCTGAAACTGCTCAGGATGAAAGAACTTTAAATAGATACTCAGAGAGTCACACTTCAATCCTGTTGTTTGTTTGGTAAACACTGCTTGTTGTAAACTGAAACACACTTTACCAGTGTCACTGTCAAGGTCCAAAATTTAAGAAAAATATGCCACACGCCACCCTTCATTATAACTCAACCATTTTGTTAATTATTAACCCAGATCTCTCATGACTGTATCCATTTCAGAACTAATTTGTTCTATATATCCCACATCCCCTCAAGCAGTTAAATCTATGCTGCCTGTCTTCCAATGTTAAACCCGTGCCCACAGTGTGTGTGCAATTAAGTCAAAGGTTTTAGGGTTCTAGGTCCCCTAATTTCATTCCTACAATGAACAGGTTGAAAACTGAGCAAATGCAAGGAGTTAAGTTGTTACAGTCCTTCCAGACCATAGGGATGCTCACTCATTAGAGAGAAATGACTGGTCTTGGTTTAACCTGAGGGTCAGCATGCCTCAGGTGAAGGGAGAGGTTGAGAAGGAGAGCCTTTCATGGTAACCTCAGCTGGAGCAGAAATTGAACCTGTACTATTGGTGCCTCTCTGGATTGCAAACCAGCCATCCAGCCAACCGAGCTAACCAACCCCCAAAGACCAAATGGTATCAACACCAGAACAATAGAAACATCTAAGCACAGAGATGGCGGGGAAGGAGGTTGTGCAGGGATGTGAACAGGCGGAGGAGATTTCTAAATGTGAAGCATAGGTAGTCCAGGAAGCAACAGTAGACTAATGAGTACAGAGTGATGAGTGGGAGATGTGTGCGGCTGGCGGGTGGATAACACTTACTTGCCAACATGTGAAATGGGTTTGCTGTAAATGCTGAATTGTGAAAACACTGTGCTGCTGCCTTTAAAGGGGATGAATATCAATGACTCACCAATCCAGTCACTGTTAAGAAGTGGATGATTCTCTCATCATCCGGTAAACCTGAGGGAAATAATACATCAAAAGAGTCATCGCTATATTTCCATCAATAAACTGCTGCTGTGAATGGATGGCTTGGCACATGATGCTGTATATGATACCTGTAATCGGGTAGATTTCCTTCAAAGGATAAATCACCTGTTTAAAAAAGAAACAGACAAAAATACAAACATTTTTACAAACTGATTTTCAGGGAGCTCCTTTCAACACAGTTCTTTCAATCACTTTGCCCTGAGAATATTATATGTCCCGCCCCATCTCTGCTCAGTGCACCCGTCTTTTCCTCCTTCGCTTTTCCCTTGCCCACAGCATCACACCCTTGATCTTGGTGTTTCCTCTCGAGTTCTTTCATTATAGAACTCTGTTGTTCCTTCTCTAGAGCTCTCATGCCCTGTTTTGGGCTCCCACACTTTCTCTCCCTGTCCAAGGACTCCCTGTCTTTCAGACTGAATAGCTGGATGAAGCGATAGGGGATTTAAGGCTAAGGATGAATTTGAGCTGAGAATGGTGAACACTGATATAGACCAGTTGGGCCAAAGGGCCTCTTTGTAACGTCACTGCATTGACAGTCCATGAAGTTCACCAAAATAAACAGGAGTGGAGATAAAACAGAAGAAGCCTGTGACTGTGACCTGGATATTCCTTTAGAGAGCCGGTATGCAAGAGGTCTTTTCCACCCTGAGTCCCCATCACTAACACGCCCGTGGAGTTTCTTTAAACTTCCAACTCCAATTTCGTCCCTTCAAACTCCCCGCTGCCCAAACCTGACACTCATTCAGGACAAACAGCCTTGTTTGACTGGCACCACTTTGCAACACTCACTTCACTCCTTCTGCAACAGTGACAGCACTGTGCACCAAGTACTAGATACACTGCTGTAACTCAACAAGGCTCCTTCAAAAGAGCCTTCCAATCCTGTGACCTCTACCACCTGGACGGTATTGGATGTATGGGGGCACATTGTCTGCAAGTTTTCCTGCAAGCCACACACCAGCCTGACTTGGAAAATAATTGGCTATTTCTCCATTGTCGCTGGGTCAGAATCCACAGATTCTCTTCCTAACAGCACTGTGGGTATCCCTACACAGCAAGGACTGCAGTAATTCAAGAGGAAAGCTCACCACTACCTTCTCCAGGGCAATAGGGATGGGCAATAAATGCTAGCCTAGCCAGTGACATCCACATCCCATAAATGGATGAGTAAAATCCATTGTTCTACCTGTTCTCGCAGGGTTCCATCAGTGAAGTACGGTTTCTGGGGAAGAAACATAACTCCACGGGGCCCAAAGGAAGTCAGCATGCGGACAGACCCTACGAATAAAAAGTACAGCCTTTCAACAACCCAACTTTTCAACTAAACTACGATGCACTTGATTCAAAGAACAATGACTTGAATAAAGTTTGAAAAAATATGTAGCTGTGGGGCCAAAAAAATGACCTGCTGATTAGGATCAGCTGTACCACATCTCCTGGTCTATGCGGGGGAGTGAGGTGGGGGATTCGGGGAAGACCACGCCTGGGAGGAGTCAACAACACCATTCTCCAGCAGAACTATTACATCTGTCAACAAAACCAAGGTGAGGGGTGGCTCCTCTCTTCAATCTGACTCCTGCTGGAGTGAAATACATGTGTGCTCCACAGAGAGGTGAGGATTCTGCCCTCTTCCTCACTGTGGTTTCTCAGACACTCAGCCCCGAAACAAAATCAAGAAAATGCTGGAAACACTGAGCAGGTCCGGAAGCAGCTGTGGAGTTAATGGTAACAACATAAGTACATATGAACACTTGCATCAGGAGCAGGAATAGGCCAACGGGGCCTTGAGCCTGATTCACCATACGAGAAGATCATGGCTTATATGACTGTGGTCTCTAATCCACTTTCCTCTGTCTTTTCCTGATAGCCTTTGATGCCTTATTGATCAAGAATCGATCTACCTCTGCCTCAAAGGTATTCAATGAGCCAACTTCCACTGCTCTCTGGGGCAACACAGCCCCACATATACCCTCTATACCCTGACAGAAAAAATTCTCCTCATCTCTATTTTAAATAGGAGACCCTTTATTTCTACGCCACGCTCCCTAGCTCTTGTCTTTTACAGAAGGGGAAACACCCTTTCATTGTTCCTGCACATTAATCACCTCAGGACCTTCTCATTCTTCTAAATTTCAAGGGTTTGATTTGATTTATTGTCATGTGTATCTTGTTACAAAATACAGTGAAAAGTATTGGACAGTGTTGCCACTCTCTGGCGCCATCTTAAAAATAAACCAAAACATAGAATAAAAAGGTAGTAAAACAAAATAAAGGAAGTGTTGTGTCCAACCTTACAGTCCTTCTTGTTAAGTGCTCTCATGTGGTATGGGCCTAGTGGCCAATCATGAGTCCCCTTCACTGTGTCGCTGCCATTGGAACAAAAGTTGCCACTGATCGGCACCAACTTACCTCCACTGACCGCCTCACCACTAAGAATCCTCGCTGGACCTTGCCAATGCAGACACCACCGATACCACTTTGTACCACACTGACCCAAACTCAACTCCGCCACCACTGTCTGCTTTGGGCCCACTTCACCAATGCATACAGCTTCAACCTGTCCAAGCTATCCTCATTAAATAACCCAACACCCTCACCTGCAATTGTGACCTTTCTCAAAAAAACGAGGCCAAACTGTACACAGCACTCCAGATGTGATCTCACCAATGTCCTTTTCAACTCTAGCAAACATTTCTACTGTTATACTCCATTCACCCTGCAATAAATGATAACATTCTATTCACCTTCCTAATTACATGCTGTATCAGCTGACTATATTCCAGGACTCTCAGATCCCTCTGTGCCACAGAGTTGGCGATCAGTGCCCAGTGAAAGAAAAGCAACAGCACAGAGGACCATGAGATTCCCTGGTTGGAATGGTTTCACAACATTGGTCAAATCTTACCATCGGCTGTCTCCCATAACCTGTTCAGGACCCGTAACAGAGTGGTCTTTCCAGAGCCGGTGTTGCCTGTTACCAAGAGGTTGTGTCCTGCAGTGACTGTCAGGGTTAGGTTTTTCACCAGCAACTCCTTGGAGGACAGCGCAGTAAAGGAAACCTGTTCCAGATTAAAGGCCATGCCACCAGACTCTTCCTTGTTCTCGTCTTCAGAATCTAAACTGTCCCTGCAGAAGACCACAATGACAGTGTCAGCCTATTGTGCTTTATGACGTTGATAGCCTCCAACACTGCATACAGTATGTGTGCAAACAATAACACAGTAGGCATTTAAACACTCATGCCTGTAATAGATATATGAGTGCACCTGGATAGGGATACATTGTTGGGGGGTTGAAACACTTTGAATAGCAGCCAACAGCATCTCACTTACACGTGTCAGCCTTGGCTCAGCAGGTAGCACCCTTGTCTCCGAGTCAGAGTGTCAAGTGCCACTCCGGAAACTTGAACACAAAAAATAATCTGTGCCTCCATTGTGGCACCAGGCCAGAGAGTGCCATCTTTTACTCAAGAAGTTTCCAAGGACTGGCTTGGCCTCCCAGGTGGATGGTAATATTGTGAATGACAGGTGAACAAATTCTCCACAACGTCTTGGCCAATGTTTAGCCCTTGAACAATGTCACAAACAGTTTATCACGTTGTTGCTTGTGGAAGCTTGCTATGGGCAAACTGTCTGCCACATTTCCCACATCCCAACTATGACTACACTTCACTGGCTGGGATGTGCTTTGAGAGCCTGAAAGAAGTTACAGAAATACAAGTGGATAGAGTGGATATAGAGAAGATGTTTCCACTAGTAGGAGAGACTAGGATCTGAGGGCACAGCCTCACAGTGAAGGGATGAACCTTTAGAATTGAGATGAGGAGAAATTTCTTCAGCCAGAGGGTGGTGAATCCGTGGAATTCATTGCTGCAGAAAGCTGTGGAGACCAAGTCACTGAGTGTATTTAACACAGAGACAGATAACTTCTGATTAGTAAGGGGACCAAGGGATATGGGGAGAAGACAGGAGAATGGGGTTGAGAAACATACCAGCCATGATCGAATGGAGGAGCAGACATGATGGGCCAAACGACCTAGTGGTGTTATCACTCAACTATTAATCCAGAAACTCAGCTGATGTTCTGGGAACCTGGGTTCAAATCCTGCCATAGCAGACGGTGGAATTTGAATTCAATAAAGAATCCAGAATTAAGGATCTAATGGTAAACCCACTGTCAATTGTTGGAAAACCCATCTGGTTCATTAATGTCCTTTAGGGAAGGAAATCTGCCATCCTTACGTGGTCTGGCCCGGCCCACATGTAACCCAGACCCACAACAATGTGGCTGAGTCTTAACTGCCCTCAGGGCAATTAGTGATGGACAATAAATGCCGGCCAAACCAAAGACTCCTGTGAGTGAATTAGAAAAAAATGCGTAATTCTGCTCCTGTATCTTATGGTCTAAGTCTCTGGTTGTTACAGCTTGAGTGAAACCTCCAGAGAGATTACTGCAAAATTTTTAAAGATAAAACAGCCAATTTCACATATTCCCATGGGTGGTGTTAAACAGGGTACTATTTGTGACTGTCTAAGATACAACAGTCCTCAATCATCCTACACAGAATGGATAAAGCCTTTTCTTTATTGCTGGGCCAGAAGAGACTGAGCCAGGTTGGAGCCTATTTTTTAAAATTCTAATTTGTTTTTCTACTTTTCCCAAAGGGGTTGATTTTCTGTCAGTGTACCATTTTACTTACCACCAGAATTGGAAAGAAATCGCTGTTCTTTTACTGTCACTGGGTCAAAATCCTGGAACTCCCTTCCTAACAGCACTGAGGATGTACCTACACCAAAGGACTGGGAGACAGCTCATTGCCATTTACTATGGGGTGTGAGCACTGTAGGCTGGCCCAGCTAATGATGCCCACATCCGTGAAGGGATAAAAACACAGTTTGAGACAGTGGAGGCGTTTAAAAGAGTTGGAGGTGACGTAGCACTAGACGTCACTCACATAAGTAAGGAAGACTGATGCCTTAGGTTGGCTCCTGTCACCAAGGGGCAGCTTTTAGAAATAGTATGGACAAAGAGGGCAGGGGAGGTGTGTAACACAAGAAGCAAAAGGTGTGGGAGCAGGAAGAGGGATCCTTTCCAGCGATACGCTCAATGCTAATCGATAGATAAGAATGGAACCAAGTGAGAGCAGTCTCACCCGACTAGACAGCAGTGGAGAGGTGTTGAAGGAGGAGGAGGCTGAAGGCTGGCCGAGAAGGATGAGGAAGGAGAGTTCTCCCTTTGTCACACAGTCATGGAGAGGAAGGGAAATCACGAGAACAGTCGAGCGAATGGCCACTTTTTCTTTCGAGGAAGGGGGCAGTGCACAAGTGGCAGATTTGAAGGGGGATCTGAAGACAGAGAACCATCAATAGTAATCAATGTGGAAAGCACACTGAGTGCTCAGCAGTTTAGTGGTGATAGGATCGAGGAAACAGGAGGTGGTACAGTGTGAAGAGGGCATGCAGAAAGGAAGGAGAGAAACCAGAGAAACCTTCCTCTTCAACTCCCAAACAAATCCATGATGATTTTTCCCAGAGCTCCATGTTTGAGCTCGTGCAATCGGGTTTCTGCCTCAGCTGCAATATCGAGCAGTTCCTATTCCAGTCACGAGTGACGTACTGCGTGACTGTGTGACAGAGGGAGAACTCTCCTTCCTCATCCTTCTCAGCTGGCCTCCAGCCTCTTCCTCCTTCAATACAATTCCACTGCTGTCCAGTCGGGTGAGACTGAGGAAGGGTGAGCGGACCCAAAACGGTAACTCTAATTTTTATTCACAGATGCTGCCCGAGCTGCTGAGCTTTTCCAACAACTTCTGTTTTTGTTCTTGGATTGAGACAAGGCTGGGTTTGGTGGGGAGGGTGGGTTGCTGAGGGAAAGATTTAAGGAGACCGACAGCTTGGGACGAAAAAGGTAAGTTTTAAGAAGAATCACAAAGGAAAAAGAGTTTTTTTAGGGAGGGGATTCTAGCTCTTGGTATGTCTGAATGAGTGGCAACACTGTAAAGAGAAGCAATGAGAAACCTTACAATACTTCTTGGTGGAAGGAAACATTAACCTCTGGCAGTGAGTCGGGTGGGAGGAAGAACAAGTGGAAGCTTGCACATTCTGTGAGTAGTGTTAAAGTTAGCTGGTGTTTTTGGTGGCAATGAGAAAGGATTATTGCCACTGCTACTCAGTAAAACTTACTTTTCAAAACCCCACAATTCTTTGCATGACGGCTGTCTGCTCTTGCAACATGATTTGGAGAGTTTGAGGATCATCTCTTGCAGCTCTCCAATTCTGTCAGTGATAGAGAACAGAGAAAAACCCAGTAAGTATCAGCCATGATCTCACTGAACGGAGGAGCAGATTAAACTGGCCGATGGCTTACTTCTGCTCCTGGAGCTCAAGATCCCTTCTGTGGAGCAGCAACAGTCAGCCGCATAGTTGCTGATCAACATCATGAGCCACCTCTGTCAAAATCTCATAGCAAACATGAATCATCAAGTCACCCTTTATTGCAGGGCTAAGGCCGGGTCACAGCATATACACACTCTCTGGATCAATTATTCCTTTTTGAGTGGCACATGTGCCCAAGATTATTGAGTAAAAGCAGCAATAGGTATGGGGATAGCCCAAGGCTCCAATTTACTCCAGCAGCCACTGCAGGCAGAACATGGTCCAACTCCGCTGCCTCCTGTCTAGATCGACTCTGGCTCACTATCTCGGAGGTCCGTTGTGGACTCAATGAGCTAAACAGCTTGTTTCCACACTGTAGGGCTTCAATGATTCTATTATCCTCTCCAACCCATCCATCTCCCCCAGCACCTCATCCATCTACCTCTCTCCCCCCTTTCCACCACATCATTTTCCCCTCCATCCCTATCCACAGCTACCTTTCCATTCCCACCCTCCCTTGCTCACACAGACCCTTTCTAACCTGTGTGTGTAGCCTGCGAGGTCAGTCACGGTTGTTGAGAGGTCGATGAGCTGGCTGAAGCAGTGTATAAGATAGATGGATACAAAGGCATTCTGCAAACAAAAACAGCGCGCAAAGATCATGAATCGAAAATGCACAGGTCTCGATTGGACTGAAGGTGTGTTTCAGACATCCCAGAGCGATACCGGGAGGTAAGTCGTGAACTTTCCAGCACTACTCTGGAGATTTCAGGAATTAAACCTTTATTGTCTGGTAACTGGCACATTTCTCTTTGCTTTAGACCATATGATATAGGCGTAGAATTATGCCAGTCCATTGAGTCTGCTCCACCATTCAATCATGGCTTATATGTTTCTCAACCCCGTTCTCCTGTTCTCTCCCCGTAATCCTTGATCTCCTTACTAATCAGGAACCTATCTCTGTCTTAAATACACTCAATAACTTGGCCTCCATTTCCTTCTGTGCTAATGAGTTCCATAGATTCACCACCTTTGGCTGAAGGAATTCCTCCTCATCTCTGTTCTAAAGCCTCGTCCCTTCAGTTTTGGAACACTTCCATCTATGGGTTATAGACGCGTTGGAGAACAGATAAGAAAAACACCTAGTTTGCCCAAATGGGAAACCTGATGATAAATTCGCTAGGAAAAGGTCCAAACAGAGTCTGCAACACCTCCCCACCACCCTGACGGTTTGCTTGCCTGGATATTAGGAAAAGGAATGACAAAGTATTTGTGGAAAAATATGTGAATAGTCTGTGCCAACTCTTAACTTCCCAGCAACTGGGATTATATTGCAGGTTTAAATGATCCACAGAGTGCAGGGCTTGGGATCAATCAGGATTCGGTATAGCTGTGTCTTGTACTGCCACCCAGTGGTGCACTCTGCAAACATCAGCTCACAACCTGAATACAGACCACACTCTACCACAGGAATACCCCTCTGAGCCTGTCCCACCCTTCAAACTGATCATATATCGATCTGAATGATCGATTATTGTTTCTGTTATGGCCTTATTCGACTTGCCTTCCTTTTTTCAGCTTATTTTTAACTTTTCACAGGTTGAAATGTCACAAATAAGGACAACATTTATGACCCATCTCCAATTGTTCCAGAGAAGGTGATGGTGAGCTGTCTTCTTGAACTACTGCAGTCTGGAATGTAGCTGCATCCACAGTGCTTATTAGGAAGGGAGTTCAAGGATTTTGACTCAGTAACTGTGAAAGAATAGTGATATATTTCCAAGTCAGGATAATGTATGGCTTGAAGGGGAACTTGCAGGCGATGGTGTTCCCACGTATCTGCTGCCCTTGTCCCTCTAGGTGGTAGAAATAAGGGGAGTGCTGTTGAATTGGTTTGGTGAGCTGCTGCAGTGCACCTTGTAGATGGTACACACTTATATGTCAGTAGTGCAGGGATTAAATGTTAAAGCTGGTGAATTTAGATGTGGCGCCAGTCATGCAGACCGATTCAACCTGGGTGGTGTTAAAGCTCTTGAGTGTTGTTAGTTGCACTCATCCATCACATTCCTGACCTTTGCCTTCTAGATGGTGGACAGGTTTTGAGGAGTGAGGGGTGAGTTACTTGCTTTAAAATTCTCAGTATCTGACCTACTCTTGTAGCCACTGTATGTATATGTGTATCCAGTTGAGTTTCTGGTCAATGGTAACCTCCAGGACGATGATAGGTGCAAGGTTCTTCACATCCCCCGTTGTGTGCAGTGCTTGCTCTTGGCAAAATTTCAAATTCTCATTTTGCTTAGGATCGGATTTAAATCTAACACTAATTGTTGGATCAATTTGGAGATTTTCTTTACAAGCTTGAATTGATTTGGGACAGGATACTTGCTTGTCTATTTTTTTTTCAAAGTAGAAATGCCAGGCAATGACCATCGCCAACAAAATAGAATCTAACCATCTCCTTTTAATGCTCAATAGCCTTGTCATCGCTGAATCCTCCACTGTCTGTACTTCATAACATTTAACAATAAAAAACAGCAGCCTTTTTGTGGGAAAACAGACAAGGATAAATTTCTTAAAATTAGAATGAAATACAAACATTTCAGGGCAGCTGCAGTTACACACAGAGCTGATGAGGTCTGCAAAAAGACTTCCTCTATCTTAAAGCAAGGTTGAGTCAAAGACACCTCACCCTCGTAAAAAAAATTACGCTGGCCTGTGTCTAACCTGCTCGACAAAGTTTTGTTTGAATATTCATTTTTCTGTTAGATGGATTTGAAAGTTGTGCAGAGTGTTCAAGAGGTTACACTGGAACTGTGGAAAACGTTAGTTCGGTCACAGCTGGAGTATTGTGTACAGTTCTGGAATTCACATTGTAGAAGGGATGTGATTACACTGGAGAGAGTGCAGGGGAGATTTATCAGGATGTTGCCTGGGATGAAGAGGTGGCTTAGTAATTAGCGCCGCTGCCTCACAGCGCCAGGGATCTGTGTACGATTCCAGCCTTGGGTCACTGCTTGTGTGGAGCTTGCACATTCTCCCTGGGCCTGCATGGGTTTACTCCGGGTGCTCCAGTTTCCTGCCACACTCCAGAGAGGTTAGGTGCATTGGCCATACTAAATTGCCCCATAGTGTCCAGGGATGTGTAGACTAAGTGGGTTAGCCATGGTAAATGCAAGGTTACAGGAACAGAACTAGGTCTGGGTGGGATGGCCTTCAGAGGGTCGGTGCAGTCTTGATGGGCTGAATGACCTCTTTCTGCACTAGGGATTCTATGAGAGCTTTAATTATGAAAAGAGATTGGATAGACTGGGTTGTTTTCCTTAAAGAGGGGACATGATTGAGATGCATAAAATTATGTAGGGAATAGACAGAGTAGACAGGAAGGAACTTACCCCTAGGTGGAGGGATCAATGACCAGGGGGCATAGGTTTAAGATTGGGGCAGGAAGCTTACAGGGAATAAGAGGAAAAGTGGGAATCTGGAGCACACTGCTTGTTAGTGTGGTAGAGCCAGAGACCCTCATAACATTTAAGAAGCATTTAGATGTGCACTTATGATGCCAAGGCATACAAGACTAGGCGCCAAGTGCTGGAAAATAGGATTAGAGTAGTAAGGTTGCTGTTTTTGACTGGTGCAGACTCGATGGACTGCAGGGCCTTTTTCTGTGCCGTGGATCTTTATGACTCTATAAAGGAGAATTATCGTGTTATAGCTATCTTTGATTGACCATATAGCCATCACTCTCTATTCAGGAGATACAGTATATTCTTCAGCCAGAGGGTGGTGAATCTGTGGAACGTATTGCCACAAAAGGCTGCGGAGGGCAAGTCATTAAGTGCATTTAAGACAGAGATAGATGGGTTCTTGACGAGTAAGAGAGTCAAAGGTTACAGTGAGAAGGCAGGAGAATGGGGTTTATGAAACATATCAGTCATGATCAAATGACGGAGCAGACCCGATGGGCCGAATGGCCTTACTGTCTCTTATATCGGATTCTCATAGATTAGTCACTATGCACAGAAGTTAATTGACCATCTTTAATTAACACACACTCTACGATGTAGACTCATTGCTATACTCTGAGGGTAGGCTTCTTTGAATAGATGGAGACAGTAACCAGAGAGAGATGGAGACAGTAACCAAAGAGAAGGAAAAAAATCTGCCAAAGGTTTAAGCTACAGAATCAGAAATGCAGCAGAGATTAGATGAAAAAAACAAGTCATCTCCCCGTGGCTTATTACTCTCACAATGAGTAAACAAGTGCTGGATCTTTGTGTGTGACAAGCAGGAACATGATAAAAGTTAGCGAGAGTGATCCACATGTAAGTTACACATATTAAGAGATTATCATTCAAAAATTTTCAAGTGGACTTTGAGACAAAGCCCTGGACCATACCTTACTGACCAACTCGATAAGGGCTGCAGGGGCAAGACCATTGTACTGTCCACCAAAGATGGGAATCGCTATGATGATGTAGCTGATGATACTGCCCAGGTAATCAAAAACGTTCACCCCAACTGAGGGAAAGACAGCAAGAGAGAGAAATGTATTAACCTACAGTTGAAAGGGAGGGAGGGCACTTGTTGTGAACTGGCTTATTCCTAGCATGTTGCAGATTAGATTATACATCGCTCACAGAACAAAAACAGGCCATTCAGCCCAACTGAACCAAATAACCTACATCAGGAAGTGATGTAGCTTTATAAAAGTTTGGTTAGGCCACAAATAGTATTGCTTTCAATTCTGGTTGCTACATTATAGTAAGGACATGGAGACTTTGGAGAGGGTGCAGAAGAGGTTTACCAGGATGCTGCCTGGATTACAGGGTATGAGCTATAAGGAGAGGCTAGGAAAACTCAGGTTGTTTCCTCTGGACTGGAGACTCGACAGAAGTTTGGAAAATTATGAGAAGCATCGATAGGGTTGACAGTCAAAATGTTTTCCCCCCCAGAGTTGAAATGCCTAATTCTAAGGGGCATGCATTTAAGGTGAGATGGGGAAAATTCAAAGGAGATGAGACAGGCAAGTTTTTTTACACACAGAGTAGCAGGAGTTTGGAATGCACTGCCAGGGGTAGTGGTGGAGGCAAATAGGATAGGAGCATTAAGGGGCTTTTGAATAAACTAGGAATGGAGGGATATGGACCATAGACAGGCAGAAGGGATTAGTTTAACTTGGCATCATGTTTGGCACAACATTGTGGGCCAAAGGGCCTGTTCCTGTGCTGAACTGTTCTATGTTCTATTCATTGCCCAACCCTACTTGCTGCTTGGAAAGTGACAACAATGGGACAGTTCAGTTGTGGTACATTGTAACCTGTCATCTCCCCAAACACTTAACATGCAGTCTTCACATGTTTTAGGTATGCACACATTCCTCTGTACTTTCTGTACACAGTCTTCACAGACCCACTACTCATGCACATCCACACTGTACATACGCAGTTCCCACCTACGCACCGCACATACACTGTCTACATGTACTCACTGCAAATACACAGTTCCCGTCTAATCACTGTCCCTGTGTACTCACTGTACAGCCACAGTTCCCTCTTCATCAGCTCCTTCTGTGTTTGCAGTAGGTCCTGCAGTTTCCAGTTCGTCCTCATGTGCTCCACACTTCCCGCTCTGCAACCCAGCATCAAAATAATTCAGTTCACTTTAAGGTATTTCAAGGAGCCCTCTCACATTGACAGTGTTTGCAATCAAGCTTCACATCTCCCATCTCATCAACCCTCTTGCACATTGCTCCACTATCATCCCTCCCAAATAGCACTCCGACATGTCCTGTTGCCCCCTTTCCCCATCAATTCTTTCCAGAACAAATGCTTGCAGCTGCAGTTACCCCTGTCCTTGGTCACCATCTGTAGTTACATACTCTCCAGTAGGAATAAAGGAGCAGGAACTCTGCTCCCCAGGATCAGTAAGACAGTGTGTCAATGGAATTAAAAGCCTGGTGTAGCATTCAGGTTTTCAGGCCGAGAAAGCTCTTGTTCTGATCAGGCAGTACTGTCAGCCGATCTCCCTGGTGAAGACATGGACACTGGAACACGAGGAGACTATTCAGCTCCTCAAAACTATTTCTCCATTCATCCAGATTCTACCTCAACTCCAGGTACCCTCCTTAGCTCCTCAATCTATTCTAACCTGGCAAAAATCACAGCCTCTAAAATGTCGACTGACTTAGCATCCACAGCCTTTGATGCATGGGTTAAATTTGCAAGCTTTTATACCCTGCAACAAATGCACTTGAATCATTAGATAAGGATGGAGTGGGTACTGTAAGGGCACATGCAGCATCTACTGATTCCAGATATGGAAGGAAACGATCAGATCTGACACCAATGGTCCTGGTTAGATCCCTGTCAACTCCCATACGGAAAATGTTTCATTGAAACCCCTGGAATCTCAGGACACAACCAGTTCAAATTGAAGCACGAATTCGGGAAACCCCAATAAGCTTGACCAGGCACACAGTCTCAACCTTCCTGATGTGTTCCCTCAGTTTCATGTTGACCAGTGCAAAGAAAGGAAAACTGGGAGTCTCAGCCTTTCACGACCCCAGAACTGAGGAAGAGTCACCGGACCCAAAACGTTAACTCTGATTTTTTCTTCACAGTTTCTGCCTGCTGAGCTTTTGCAGCAACTTCTGTTTTTGTTCCCACTTTTATTCTATTCCGAGTAAAGATTTATGGGATCTTGCTATGCCTAA